GTACTATATATATATATATATATATATATATATAGGCCTTTTAACACCAAGACAAAATTGTCTTCCTACGCAAATTTTGTTTGTGCGTGTTGGGGCGAGAGTGTGCGACTACGGCTCAATGGGTCTAATGTCACGCTGCAGGGAGAAAATGGGGAGTAATCTTCTTCCTGCGTTTAACTTGGAGCTTGTTCGGCAGCACACGGATGTGGTCAGGGATGTCGAGAGGGAAGAGGTGCGGAATGCCGCCGCATGTCACCCCATCAGCGCCATCAACAACATGGTTTTCATCGGCACCTGGCGCGATGCCGCAGATGAGCAGTTGCTGCGGCGCTACCACATCACCCATGTATTAAATGTGGCGCGTGAGCTTATCCCGGAGGAGGAGCTTCAGCGGATGAATTCCATACACTTTGTCAAGAGCAAGTGCATCCCACTAAATGACAGCCAGAATGAGGATTTGGAGCACTATTTTGATGAGGCGTTTGAGTTTATTCGAAATGCCGTCCATCATGGCAGGGTTTTAGTGCACTGTCGCCGTGGCATCTCCCGCAGTGCCGCGATAGTGATTGCGTACATCATGGCCTCTGAGGGGCAGTCTTTTCGTACGGCACTTGAAAGTGTGCGCATAAAAAGACCCTGCATTTCACTTAATTTGGCATTTATTCAACGACTGGAAGAGTTTGAAGCTCACCTTCACCTCATGCGGTCTGCCGATAGCATGAAATACGACGGAAAAGATATACTACTTAATGAGCGCGTGGATGGGCTGCATGCCAACGAAAGCGTTAGTTCTGGGCCTAAGAGTGTGCCGTTAGACTTGCGATGCGGGTTTGAGGGGCGCGTAGTGTGAAGAACATTTGGAGACGATTGGATGTTTTTACCTGTATACATTTGACTTTGTTTTACCCAACAAAAAGGTAATATAAACTTGAACAAAAAAGACATCCTTTCTCCCTTTTTGTTCTTGTTTTTTAATTCTCTATCTTTGTTGAATTTGTCGTCTACTCTTTTTCGCATCTTTGTTGGCTTTATTTGCCTCTTTATTCTCCCTCTTGTTGATTGTCACCAATTACCACATTAACTCTCTCAGTTTATCACCCCTTGTTTGGGGAACAACGGACAGGTGCAGACAAAAAATCGCTCTCTTCTTTACCACCTTTCAAAATCTAAGAGAAAGCCAACAACAACAACAACAACAAAAAAAAAAATAATGTATTTTTTCAATTTGGAAAGCAAGAGAGAAAAGGAACCTGTGATAGGAGTGCACGGAAAGAGGAGTCGTGATAGCCCTTTACACACCCTTTTTCACTTTGTTTTCGTGTATGTGTTGAGGCAGGTATGCATGCTTGTATGTATGATTGTGTGCAGAAGTGACCAAGGAAATGAGATGCAGCTCCATTGTGGTGGCGCTCTTTCATTTTCCATTTTCCTTATTGTACTGTTGTGTGTTTGTGCATCTGTCTCGATGTTTCCACTTCGGCCTTTTTTTTTTTTTGTTTACCTACTTAGCTATTATATATAATATATATATTTATATATATAAATATGGATGTATATATATGGATGTATATATATGGATGTATATATATGGATGTATATATATATAGGTTTTTATCTTGTACAGCGTGGCCATTGATGTGTGACACATAGGGCCAGAAAAAACTCCAAGCAAAGAAATGAGAAACATAAAGGGAATTGAAGGACAAAGCAACAGGAGTAAGGAGTTTACTCAGCTTCAGCCTCTCATTCCCGTTTACTTTTTTTTTCTCCCCTTTCTCGGAGTCGGGGCACATGAAGGCGGCAAGGAGAATTTACTATGTGTGACTCTGTTTTAGACATTTCTCCCCAAGGGTTTTGTTTATTGTTTCTTTTTTTTCATTCTCCGTTGTTTTTTCCTTGCACTTTTTTTTTGTGTGTTTTGTGGTAGTTGTTGTGGAGATTCCGACTACTTTTCATTTTTGAAATATTTCCAATGATGGTTCTTGTGCTTGTGAGTGCGTGTGTGTTTAAAGGCGAGCAAAAGTGCGCGTGTAGGCAGGCTGCTCTTTTTTTTTTTGTTTTCGCTTTGTTGTTGTTGTTGTTCTTTCTTTCTTAGTGAGAGTCGTCCGATGTGTGGTCTCTGCCCGCGTCGGCCTGTTTCCACAAATATGTGCACTGCGAGGACTTCCCTTTGCTTTTCACAATTAACCCTCCCAACGTTGTATGGTAATTTCCCCCCCCCCCCCCCCTCTGTGCGTCTTTGGGTGTAGTAGATTTTCCATTCTTCATTCCGCACAGGAGGTTCTGGTGGAGTGTCTCATGTCGGCCTCTGACTTTTCCGCCTCCCTCATGTTGGCGGGGATGGACTACATCGCCCCGTCAGAGGCATGTACTCTTCCGACAAGGCTGCAACGTGGAACGGACGGCTCCGTTCAACGTCATGCCTCTGGTAGTGAGGTGGTGAAGATAACACTGCAGGACTGCTTGGCATGTAGCGGGTGTGTTACGACGGCGGAGGCGGTACTCGTGACTTCTCAGAGTCGTGCTGAGATTATTAAAACTCGTGCGGCTAATAAAGATCGCCCTTTTCTAGTAACTGTGAGTGATCAGTCAGCCGCCTCTATTGCAGCCCACTTGAAAATTACTACGCGAAGGGCCTTCTGCATCATTAGCGGTTTTCTGCGCACTGTCCTACAGTCACAGTACGTCTCAGATCTTCGATGGGCGCAACGTATTTCGGTTGAGAAGACAGCCCAGGAGTATTGTCATCGATTACAGCATGCAAGAGAGAAGTTACCCATGATTGTATCAGCATGTCCGGGATGGGTTTGCTACTGTGAGAAGCAGGGGTCTTCGATTCTTCCCTTGCTGTGCCCAGTGATGTCGCCGCAAGGAATCGCAGGCTGCTACGCCAAAAAAATTTACTCACAGTTATGTCACGTCTCTGTTCAACCATGTTTTGATAGGAAACTGGAGGCAGCGAGGGATACTTCCCTTGGTGGTGGTGAAAGATACACGGATTTTGTACTGAGCACCCAAGAGCTTCTGGAATGGATGATGGAGACGGATGAATCCATTCCTTGGGAAGCTCCGTTGGACTCCAGTTTTGAACCTCTTCCTGATCCGTCACTGAAGGAGTCGAATACCGCACTTGCAGCAACTATGGAAGGAAGTGGAGGCTACCACCGTTTTGCAATGCAATACGTGGCTGAAAAAGTACACAACATGCCACTTTTGCCTGACGACATCCTGTATGAAATGAGGCGGAACGTCAATCACCATGTAGCAACAAGCCTCAGCAACCCCGGTGAGGCATATTGTGTCGCCTACGGATTCCAGCATATACAAAACATTGTACGGGGCTTGAAACGCAAGTTGGCATCAGTGGCATCCTACACATTTATTGAATTGATGGCGTGTCCAGACGGCTGTCTCAACGGTGGCGGGCAGGTGCGGAGTGGCAATCTGGCTTTCAATCTGGAAACGATTACCGCTGTCAAGGCCACTTTTGGAAGGTATGTGTTCCCCCACAGAGAGCAAGAGACTATAAAAGCGGAATCGAGAGGAGATGTGACGGATGCCATTGCTAGCACAGAGAGTGAACCACCTTGCTTTTCCCTCGCTGCCTTTAGGGCGGTGGAGAAGAAGATCGGAGCGCCTCTCTGGAGCTGCGTTTTTCATGATCGCCAAAAGGAGTTTGAGGAGACATTGAACAGTGGGGGTGTGCAGAGCCTGAAGTGGTGATGGCGCACACCTTGCACTCACTCCATTCGGTGTTTGATTTATGTATTTATATATATATATATATATATTCTGGTAAGCAGGTTTGTGGGAGCGTTATTTCTTCTTGTGCATGACCCTCTTCTTTTCTGTTGGTTTTTGAGCGCACACACACTTGGTTGTGTGTTAGTGGAGCACAGCAGAAGCTCACCGCGACAGTTTAGCTACCACGATAACGACTGGGAGGAGTACGTTCCTCCTTGACATAACATCGCGGTTTATCAGGCTATGCACTGCCGCCGGATTTGCGGGGCTGTTGATTTTACTTTATAGGAGCGTTTTCAGGCTTGACGTAAAGCCTTCAGCGACGGCAACGTCATTGAAGCTGGTCCCTGCGTCTCGCACACAGTCGCCTACAATCTTAACTACCGCCTCGACGGAGATACCTGTTAATGCGTCAGTGCATGACTCTGGTCTTAGTCCTGCTATAATGGAGGAAAATGAACTCAAACAAAACGGTAACTGTGACAGTGATCGCGTAGTAAGTAACTGGGACATAAGGAATGCAACACCTTTTCTAGGGTTTTCGCTTGTGTACAATCTTCCAGAAGGTGTGTTGGTTGTTGACGGTCTGTTTTCCGGGGGGGCCCGTCCACCTGGCCAGTCCCCGTATTGATGACGAGCTGCTGGGGGTGAACGGTGAGGCAGTTGCGAACATTCAAAAGACGCGCGAGCCCGTTGCAAACAACTGCGTTCCGTGTGGCCTCACATCACTGACATTGCGTCTCCAAGGCGGAAAACCTTTTGACGCACAGCTGCTAGTCATGACAGCAGAGTATTGCTTCTCCGGGGATCCGTTGTATTTCGACCCCACTTGCCACGGCATTCAGAATAGCAAGTTGGAGAAGAGGGAGAGCCTGTCATGGCGCAATTTGCAATAATGGCTGACAGTTCTGTCGCGTTGATGCGGTTTTACGTTTCTATTGGACTCCATTGTTCATATTTTATGCTCTCTTGACTTGCGGACCGACTAGTGGCGGAGAGACATGGCACGGGCAAAGAGAAGAAAAAAAAAAGAGTGAAAAAAAAGTGCAAGAGACAGGAAGGAGTGGGGGAAATTGAACCCTTAGAATATTGGAGAAAAAATATGCTTGCAAAGACTCAAAAACAAAAACCAAAAAAATGCTTACCTACACTAAGTATTATGGACAAATTAATAGATTTCAGTAATGCTTGGATGCATAGAAGATCACAGTTGTATATTTATTTGTGTGTCACTTTCCATGTAATATGGAGAGCGGTAAAATGGGTAGACTGAGACGGATTTGTATCATTCGAGCCGTTGTCTTTTTTTTTTTTTTGCTATGCATATATCCCTGTATGCAGGTATATAGCATGTACGCTTGTGCGTTGGGTCTTACAGTCAATGCCCTTGACTGCTTTATCTTTCTTTGAGCCTTGTCTTCTCATTATATGCATTTTTCCCCCATTTTTTAAAAGGGAGACGTCTCTCTCCCTGCATGCCCCGTGCACACCACAAACCCTTTACAGTGTACGAGGAGGCGGTGAGCTTTCACGGGACACGGCGAAACGCATATCTTTGCTGTGCCTTACTCTTCGCAGGGCTGTTGTTCAAAGTGTGTGTGCTTTCGCACTACTCCGCCGCGTCTGACTACTCCGAGCTGTCTGGGGTGGATGACGATCCTCAGTATCAAAATCTGGTGGCGGAACGCATGGAGCTGGCGGAGAGCCATTGCCTCAATGGAGGCCATGCGGCGCGCCGAGCAGGCTCGTCGCGCCCCACCGGCGTAGTGGGAAATGGGTGGATGAGGGGGGGGGGGTGACTTGTGCCATCTGAAAAATAACGAAATGTTTTTCTCCTTTTTTGCGCATCCTGCTTGCTAACTCATTTTTGTTCTTGACGCGTGCACACGGTGCCAACTGTGCAGCTTACCATTTTTTCTCCTTTTCTCTAGAGCACAGTGTACTAGGGTGACGGCCCCAAGCAAACGGCTCCACTCAGAAGACGAACATTTGCATACATACAAAACACAAATAGTGGGGGGGGGGGGGAAAGAACAATGCGCTCTCGTGATCTTTGCAGCGCGGCTTTCTATGACGACGTGCAGCGCATGAAACAACTCATACGGGCCTCCCTCTTGAGTGAAGACGAGGAGGACGAGGAAACAGCTATATATAATGATGAAGACGAGGAGGTGGAGGAGGAACAGCTTTCTATACACCGCCTGGAACGCATACGGAAACGACGGGCGGCGGTTGCATCCCTACTTGGCAAACCTGGCCTACTTCGCGTTATCGAAACAGGGGAGGAATTTGGATTTATGTTTCGCGTGGTTGAAGTGTGCGAGAATGATGGCGGCTGTGGCTTAAAGACACAGTTTAAACTGACCCGACGAAGTCGGTATCCCGCGATGCCGCTTCACTGGGCAGTGATCGGTCGCTCGCATCGTGCGGTGGAGTTTCTAGTGTCAAGCGGGGTAGATGTGGACCAGGAGGTTTGTGATTTCCCGAAAGTTACCGCAGCTGTTATTTGTGCATGCAACGAGTCCTTTGAGACGGCACGGCGACTAGAAAAGGCGGTGGAGGTGCAACGGCAGCGCCTTCAAAATGAGGAGGAGGATCACCGCAAGTGGGTGGAGACGCTGGAGAAGAAGAAGCTGGAACGTGAGCGATTGGCGGCACTAGAGGAGGCGGAGGAGGAAGAGCACAAGGAGGCAGGAAGAGCAGGAAGAGCGCGCGGAGGAGGAAATCGATAGGAGTGATGGTGACGATGCTGATGACGCTACGGACCACAACGGTAATGACGAAGAGGACGACCCAGGCGCAGCTGCGTAGCACTGCGACGAGAAGAGGCCGTGCCAGATGTAAGAAACAGTTGATGCCATGTTTATAGCTCTTCGATGGGGCAACAGATTTTCTTACCCTTTGCTTGAAATAGCAGCGCGAAGAGAGGGAAAGGAAAATTTTTTCAAGCAACAACAAAGTGGATTGTCTTCTGTAACTTTTTTTTTTTTTGAAAGGGTGTGGTGGTGGTAGGAGTGGCTTGTAGCACCAATGGAAAAGCGTGAGCAGCTGTTGGAGGAGTACAAGGGCTTGCAGGCCAACCTGGAGGAGGCCCTCGAGCTGAAGCAGAGCAACCAGGCTGATGATGAGGTAGATGCATTGACTGAAGAGATCAAGAACGAGCTACGCGCTGTCGTTCTATCTCTCAACGCTATGGAAACGATTGAGGTTACGCAGGGACTAACACTGACAAGCGGAGAAAATTCTAAACCTGTCATCTGCTACCTAGAGGCCGCGCCGTACGAGGTGCATTTCGACGATGTGGCGTGGTACAGCTGTGTCATCACGGGCATCGTGACGCCTGAGACACCGCTGGACCGCATTCGCTACAAGGCGTGGATTTTGGGCTACAACGTTGAGGAGGTGGTATGTAGTGAACAACTGCGTCCATGGCAGCCTCAGACCGCTGATGGAGAGGGCGCGCTCCGCTCTGGCGTAGTGTGTCACGCGATTGATCCCCAATCGGGGACGTTTCATTTGGCAAAGGTGGAACGTCTCACTCTTGACAACACTGTCATTGTGGCATTTGACAGTGTTGGAGATGAGGGTGAGGCGGCGGCTGCTGCTGAGGGAAATGCTACTCTCACCGTCAACAAGGAGGTGCCTCTGTCACATGTGCGTGTTGGCCGCTTTTACTACGAGCTCCGCAAACGGCCAGTGCTGACGCCGGAGGAACGGGCCAAGCGGCGGGCGGAGAACTTAGAACGAAAACAGCTGCGGATGCAGGAGAAGCGCCAGTTGGAGGCTGATGTGGCAGCACAGAACGCGAATGATTGGCAAAGGCTTGTGGACGACATGGGAATGGGAAGTGGCCCCAGAAAACGAAAACGCTGACGCAACGTGTATGTGTGTGTGTGTTTAGTGACCCATCTCTGTTTGTGGGTGGAGTATCCTCCTCCTGCGTGCACATGTCTGCTATGGCTCCCCAACCCCTCTCGTTATTACTGTATGCCTTTTTTTTTGTACGATTTTTGCTCCTTTCCGAACGCGGTACAATTTCCACTTTTTGAATTACGGTCATTGTGTAGGACCTTCATATACCATCATATTTACTCATGGAATCCGTGCTTAAGAAGGCGTATCTCCTGGCCTACAATGGCTCAATGTTCACTGGCTGGGCCGTCATTCTTGCCAAGATTGTCCGTCACCTGGCGTCCGGAAAAAACATTCAGGATGTTTACCCACTCATTGCTAAGCTTCTTGTTTTTTTCCAGAGTGGTGCAGTGATGGAGGTACTGCATGCCATCGTGGGGTTGGTGCGTGCGCCGGCTTCCACCACCGCTATACAGGTATCATCTCGTCTTCTGGTGTTGTTTGGTGCGCTTCAGATTGGCGTCACCGACGCGCGCAGTAGCCCCTGCTTCACCCAGATGGTTGTGGCGTGGTCCTTGTCGGAGGTTATTCGTTACGCCTACTACACAACGAACTTGCTTGACGTAAAATCCAAGCCACTCACATGGCTTCGCTATTCTGCATTCATGCTGCTTTACCCCGTTGGCATTAGCGGGGAAATTGGTTGCTTTTATAAGGCTCTCCCATACATTAAGGCGAACAAACCATGGTCGATGGAGCTTCCCAACCGCTACAACTGGACCTTCTCGTGGTACAATACCGTGTGGTTTATTCTACTCGGCCTTTACCCATACGGTAGTTACGTCATGTACACATACATGCTGCAGCAGCGCCGAAAGGTGTTGGGCGCCATCAAAAGCCCAACCCTAGAGGCAGAGTCGGCAGAAACAAAGAAGTCTGACAAAAACTCAAAGAAGCATGCTTGATACCAGGCGTGAAGCAAACTGTTATACGGGGCAGGGTGGGAAGTGCCGGTGATAAAACTTCAAACAACGACAACGCATCATTCATTTTACGTGTTTACTTCAACAGCATTTGCTTTTTCTCCCTCTCACAGAAAGCAGCAAACCAAACACGGCAACACCGTCGGAAAGAGACGAAAGAAAAAAAAAAAGAAACAGAAAAAAAAAAATGATGGCTACGTTAGGCATCGATAGCTTTTTATTTACTGTTTCACGTATGTGTATGCGTCTTTATTTTCTTACGGTGCACGACAAGAAAATGGAGAGAGAAGGGGGCGTTGCCATGCCGAAGTACACAGCATAACGGGTGGGGTGGGAACAGGGAGCACGTTGCAGAGGAGAAAGCGTGACAGGTCACGACAACCACAGAAGAAGTGAGAACTAAAAGCGGAAAACATGCACGACAGTTCGCCGCCTTTTTTTTTTTTATTATTATTTGTTTTATTGCATCATGCGTGCTAATTCCTTCTAGCTGTGCGCCACGAGCACACGGCCATCAAGGAAGCCACACAACCAACATGGAGCAAGACAAGCGAAGACACTCTACAAACGAAAACATGCGATTTACGTAAAATCTGGATCGCAAACCTCATGAGCGCAGCCATAAAGATAGTGACTTTTTTAAAAAAAAACACATCTGCTGTTCATACCAATGTTCATGATGTTTGGGACGCAGTGACTACCAGGGTGCCACACTATATATAGAATTGAGATTTTTCTCGCATTTATTCTCATACAAGGGCAAGGAGAAGGAAGCAATACATGGCCCATTGAAATACACCTTTCAAACGACGACAGTACGCAACCTCCATCATCATTCAGTTACCTTCCAACAAGAGCAGGAAATGCCAGAACTCGCGCAACTACTAGACAAGCTCCACACAACACACTTTTCCGACATGACATTCTCCACTGTTAGCACCATTGCCAATTACATTAAAGGCCACGCCAACAACAGCTCAAATATTGATGAAAACATCAATACCCTTAGCACAAACCAGCAGGACACTCTCATGAAGGTTCTTTACTGTTGTCTTGCCAACGACAGTGGATCTAGCGCAACCTACTTTCGCTGGCACGAAAAACTATACAGGACAGCAGGAAGTGGTGCCATCATTCGTGTAATGACTGACATGGCAACATGATTTTTGGGAAAGAATACCTGACAAAAACAAAACAGTCATGACAATACATCACTTTAAAAATACAACTCTGCTATAGACCTTGTGAAACATTGGTACCGCTCGCACTCCCCATTGCCTCGTTTTCCTCCGCGTTTTCGTCTCGCTTTTTTTTTTTTTTTTTTGGGTTGCCCCCGCAGAGCATCTCAGCGACACAAGCAACTCAACTCAACCCAACCTAAAGCAAGCAAGGTCATGGCCACTCCGAAGAGCTCCTCGGCGAGACGCAGCAAGGGCGCCAAGAGGTCGCACCGCAAGCCGAAGCGGACGTGGAATGTTTACATCAACCGCTCGCTCAAGTCGATCAACGACCAGATGTCGATGACGAGCCGGACAATGAAGATCGTGAACTCGTTCGTGAGCGATCTCTTTGAGCGCATTGCGTCCGAGGCTGCCACGGTTGTGCGTGCCAACAAGAAGCGCACGTTGGGTGCGCGCGAGCTGCAGACGGCGGTGCGCCTTGTGCTACCGGCCGACC